GCTGGCTATCCCTCAGGATGTTGGTGTTGGCCAGTCCATTAAGGATGGCCTCTTTAATAAACTTTTCTAATTTCAAAATTCTGACCACCCCCAAGCCCCCCCAAGCAAATATAAAAAGCAAAATGGTCTCACATCTACTGAAATGCTTCGTGTTGACACAACCATTTTATTTGAATCTCAACTTCTTACTTCATATTGTATAATATGACATTTGACACCATGAATAATTTCATAGCAAAAAAAAATTGAAGTGCAAACATTTCATTCCATAAATATTGAAATGGGGCTTTTCAGCATAGCTAGAATATTTTTCTCTGATTTTTTTCCAAATCAAAATTTCAGTATATTCAACAGTTTCATCAAGTGTTTCAGTATTGACAAAACTGCATTCTTTGATGGAGAATTAATTCCACCAATGTTTTTCCAAACAGCTTAAAAATAATAATGATAATATATCATTATATAGATAATACTATCTATTTGGTTTTTTTCAGAGTTTTGAGCCAGACCATAGGATCATTAAAATAGCGGAACAGTATTCCAAAGAGGTATGAGCCTAATAGCCAAAGAGGTATGAGCTTTAAATATGATTTATTGTGTGACTTAAACAAATTTGCCTAACCTCTCCTACCTTATCCACATTAGTATGGCACCAGATTGCTTCTCACAACTGATCCCTTGGAAGCTGCAAGTGGAGCCAATGTTTTAGTTACAGACACCTGGATAAGCATGGGACAAGAACAAAAAAAGATAGAGAGACTGAGAGCTTTTCAAGGTTATCAGATCACAATGCAGGTAAAAATCAGGTTTAGTATTTCTCATCTTCTTTTATAGAGTACATTTTTACTGATCAGCCCCACTGAAGTATGCATGCCATATCTGTCAGGTGGGATCATGAGGATAAGTGTGCATGTGTACATGTGTGTCCATACACACACACACACACACACACACCCTTCATTCCAGCATAAAGCTGACCGAACAAAGTGATGTCTGAATTATCTGTGGCTTCTCTTGCCTAGCCCCTTCCCATAGTCTGGCCCTTCTGGATGGAGACTTTCTTATAACACACAAATGTGGGTCATGAACAGAGCCCGTCCTTTACTTTTCACTCTAAGGACTGTCTGTTTCTGCCCCTCTACCCACCTTGTTATACCCACAGTGCATTAGAAGGCCCTTCAAATCTCATTTAGGCTAAGTAGAATTAACACACAGATTGCAGTTCATAAAGGCCATGTGCAGAGCATGATTTGAGGCAGATTTGTGTATATCTCTAAATAGGGAAAGTATTAAATATTTTTAGAAACCCATTTAGTTGAAATATGTATTAGTGCAACAGTAGTTAGAGAGAATGGAAACAAATACCAATTTTACAATTAAAGATAAAACAAGACATTTCCATCCCTGTTAGAATCAATGTTTTCATTGACTGTATTTTAACTCCAGTTTCCAGAATCCTAGTAACAAACATATCTCATCTTGCTTAAAATGTTGTAATCCATTTCTTAGATATTAGATCAATGTATTATGAGTTACTGATGTCAAAATAATTGACCATTGCCTTTTTAGGTGAGGTTCAATATGTAGTTTTTGCCATTGTTCATATATTGTATTGGCATATGGCTTTACAGTACAGAATGTTCTTATTGAAGTGTCAGCTGGGTTCAACACAAGGTTATTCCACTTTCAGTGTCAAAAGGCTAGGAGTGAAATCCAGACTCCTTTACCGTCAATGGCACATCTCCCATTTATTTAAAAGAAGATCGGATTTCACCCAAGATTCGTCTCTTCTTCATATCAGTATTAATTCAGAGTAATTCATCTGAAACCAATGATATTGTTCTAAGCACACCATCAACATAAATGGGATCAGAATCTGGTCCACAGTTTGGTAACATGTTCACCAGTTATGCTATATCTCCATCAAACTGCTTACCTTTCTATCATTTTAATCTACAGACTGCAAAAGCTGCAGCTTCCGACTGGACATTTTTACATTGCTTACCAAGAAAGCCAGAAGAAGTTGAAGACAGGGTATTTTATTCTTCACGGTCACTGGTTTTCCAGGAGGCTGAAAACAGAAAATGGACAATTATGGTAAAGAAAATAAGACTAGTTAGAGGCTTAAAAGTACACTAATGTTTTCTGCCTTTCATCCAGCTTTGCATTTAGAATGGCTCCTCAATACAATAAGGACCTTAATACAAATGTTTCAACAAACATATCAACACAGCACAGTTCTAACGACATCAGATATTTTATAAAGGAACAGTGTAGTATCTTAGGCCCCTCGTGTTGACCTATTTTCATTTTAATTGACTGTTGCTGTACCCAAGTGTTATAATTAAGTGAAATCAATGAATTGCACTGTGTTATACTGAAATAATTTGCAGTCATCAACGGTACTGATTAATATAGTCCCACTGCTTTGAAATGCTTTAAATACTCTAGACATACCAAAAATAGTTCTGTAATGGCTACAGTTTCTAATATCTGTACAGAGCTGCTTTTGTCCTATCAGGCAGACTTGAAATGAAATCAGTGGGAACTTTGCCTAAACAAGAGCTCTATGAGGAAGGTTTTGAAGTACTGAAACAATACATTGAGTTATGGCGCCAAACAATAGTGAGGACTGCATATGAAGCACAGTGGACATTCAGCATTTAACACCAACCCTAACTCGACTCTCAGATTTTAATATTTCAGAAAATAATTGTCACATTTTTACAACTATTATTTACTGTAGATTTTATAACAATTGAACAAACAATTATAAGATAGTGAAAATTCCTTAAGAGATGAGAAAACAGACTGAGTCACTAGCTTTCTGAGAGAAGCTCTATATTTGTTCTGCGGAGCACTGGCTGAAAAATTTTGAACAAATCAATGAAAAATGCACGTTTGAGTTGACTACAGTCATTCATGAATTTGGACCAAGCTCAATTAATAGTTTTGGCTGACCCTCCCTTCCTACTCCCCCTGCCCCCCCCAACTGTCTTGATCTTAATTTTGAAACTGTTTCAAGACTAAATTTAATTTAGAAAAAACATAGCATCTTAAAAGTAAAATAAAACACAAAATTATAGAAAAGAAGGGCTGGAAGGGACCACCAGAGGTTATTTAATCCAAGCCCCCACTTGATTTAGTTCAGGGGTGGGCAATTATTTCAGGCAGAGGGCTGCTTTCTGAGTTCTAGCAAGCCATTGAGGGCCACATGACAGGCAGCCAGGGGCAGATAAATATTAATTTTCTAAAATGTTTAGGGGCCCCATGGGCCAGATAGAATGGCCTAGTGGGCTACATCTGGCCTGCAAGCTGCATTTTGCCCATCCTGATTTAGGATCATTCGTTTCTAAACCATCCCGTACAGGTCCTTGTCTGAACAATTTATAAAACTACACAGTCAACCCTGCTGAATAGCTGCAAAGCATATTGCCCAAAGATACCAAAACCACCCTAACCTGCCACAAGTAAAGGCAGGAAAATGACAGTGTCCTACTCCTGCAAAACATTTTATCTGGAGTTGAACAAAAAGTTTCCCTTCAGTCAAAAATAATATTTTGGGTTGGTTCAGCCAGAAAACTAAAATATTTCACTTCAGTCAACCCCAAATGATTAAAAAAAAATTCTGTTTAACCAGTAATCTGAAAAAATCCTTTTCAAAACTCCTTGACAAAACTCTAGCTCTAAGCACCCACTTGCAGTCAGATATTGCTATGAAAGAGTGACAAACTAGGGTAATTTCTAGGGCTGTCAAACAATAAAAAAATTTGATCACAATTAGTTGCATGATTAAAAAAATTAGTCATGATTAATCGCAATTTTAATCGCACGCTAAAATGCAAAATTATGCAGGTATTTTGTATGGTTGGGGGGTAGGTATGGGGTGCGTGTGTGGGTGTTGAAGCCTGGGAAGTGGGGGGTCCATGCACATCCTGGCAGAAGGGGCAGCAGCAGGGTTGGGGGGCTGTGGCTTGGGAGTGAGAGGCAGACACAGGCACACACAAACACATACACACACAGATAGCACCCAGCAGGTAAGTCTGTGGAGGGGAAGGGGCAGGGGAGAGGGAAGAGGTGGGAGGGGCACATCAGGCCCCCACAGTGAGGGAGGGAGCGGGGCAGGGTCAGGTGCTGGGGTGAATGGGGCCCTGGGGTGGGGTGAGGCAGGTCATGGGATGGAGCCACAGGCAGCTCATCCAGGGGCATGGTGGAAGGTGAATCTCTGGTGCTGCGCGCACCCCTGGGAGAGGCATGGGGGGCGTGTGCCCCCTGGATTTGTGCATGGGGCAGAGACAGGATGCCTGCTGCAGGCTGGGGCTCTGTGCCTTGCTACCTGTGCCTCAGGAGCTGTGCACTGGCTGTACCACGCATCCCCTGCCCACCCGGCGGCAGGAGACACAACATGACATTGCACAGTTCCCAGAGCAAAGACAGCAGGGCGCAGAGCCCCAACCTGCACCAGGCAGCCCATCTCCACCCAACACACAAATCTGGGGACACGTGCCCCCCATGCCTCCCCTGGGGGTGCATGCAGTGGCAGGGAGCCCCCCCCTGACCCCCCATTTGCCTGGATGAGTCACCTGCAGCTCTGTCCCATGACCTGCTCTGGTCCTGGGGCCCCATTCACCCCAGTGCCTGTCCTTGCCCCTACCCCACTCCCTCCCTCACCAGAGGGGCTCGATCTCAATCTCCTACCCCTTCCCTCTCTGCACTGTTCAGCGCCTGTGGTCGGACAACAGCAGCACAGAGCTTCCCCCACTGCTGCAGAAGTTCCTCGGGGAGTGCAGAGAGAGACAGATAGAATGGTTGCAGCACAGAAGTCTTTGTAGTGGTGCAGGAAGCCCAAATTCCTCCCACCCGGTGCTACACCAAAAAGTGTACCTGGAGGCCAGGGGTGAGTGAGGCAAGCAGAATGGTGCTCACTATGGCACCAGGCAGGGGCAGCACAGGGCTACCCCCACTGGTGCAAAAGCTTTGAGGGTGGGGGCAGGGGAGCACAGCCAGAATCCTCTCCCCAACCAGGAGTCTCTGGCGCAGCAGTGTTAGTCCTGCACTACCTGTACAAAGCTGCAGGAGGTGGGCAGCTCAGTGCCACATCAAGCAGTGTATCTGGGGGCAAGGAAGTACCATTCTTCTTGCCCAACTCACCCTGTGCTCCTCCAGATTACCCCTTGGTGCTGTGGAATGCGGTGCTGCACTGCAAAGCCCCTGTGGTAGGCATGGACAGTGCAGAGTGTTCCTTATCATTGCTGACATACCCACTATAGGGGGATTCTGGCACTACCTCCTAAGCAGGTCCCATGGTGGGTGCCCCACTCACCCATGCCCTAGTTATTGCAGATGGTCAAGCTGCAGATGACTAAATTCTGCTCCCATACACTCTGTTATGGATCAGGATTAACTGAGAACAGAATTTAGCCAATGGAAAGCACTTCAGGATTTGGCATACTAGGTATACTGGTTCTAGTATCTTTTTGTTTGAGTTTCTCCATTTCTGTTCATTACAGTACATAGAAAGGAAGCCCACCAAATAGAGCATTCCAATTAATTTTTAGCTTCTCTATGACTCAGTGCTGGAGATTCTAGAAAACAAATCTAAGCATGACGTTGCTGTTGGGAAAATAATTCTCAACATGAGTTTTTAGAACTAAAAAATATTTTTCCTTATTTATTTTCTTTAAGTATCTGTTTTCAATGCAACTGGATTTTTTTTTCTCCCCCTCTAGGCTGTCATGGTTTCCCTCTTGACGGATTACTCACCACAGCTACAAAAGCCTACATTTTGATGTTTGGGTTCCTGCCAAGAAAAATATTCCTCACCAGCAGAATATACTGGTCCACACATATATAAGTCTGTTTCAGAAAGAATCAAACCAATGAATTATAACTCAGTAAAACTGCATAGTTGGCTCTGCTGAACTGTATAATATTGCTTTGCACTTGTGAAAACCTTTGAGATGATGTGCAGCATTGCAAAAACAGTTCTTTTTGTAGGTGCTTTATTTTCTGTTGCCTTTGTTTTGATTAGCATCTCCTGAGTTTTACAAAAGTGTAGTTTAACCAATAGATTCAACAGCATCATTGGTGATGATTTATATAACAGTTGTGAACTTGTCCCTAAATCTGTCAGCTTTACTTGGTGATCGCAAGTCATGTTTGCAGAGATCAGCACCACCCTGCTATAACATGCATTCTCAATCTTTCCTTGAAAACAGAGTCCCCTTATTTGTACCCAAGTTACCCCCTAGTTCCTTTTGGCTTTGAGATAGTGGAGACCCTATAACCAGTGAATCCTATGGGCTGACAGGAAGATGATGTAGGATTCACACAAATGGGCTTCTACATGGTTAGGTGAGGGAGAGGAAAGATGCTAAGGAAGTATTGGCTAGATCCCCCTCACTTCAACCCTCTCACCATTGACAGAATTGTGGTTTAAGAAACCATGTTTCCATTCTTTTCAGCTTCATTTTTGCCAATCTTTTCCCAAAATTCTATTTAGGCAAACCTGTATTTATTTAATTGAGGTCTAGAATGATATGTTATAATCAAAGGCAGAAAGGGTTTTAATAATATGATTTTTAGGGTAAACTTTTACAAGTAATTAATTCAAAGATCCACTTGCTCTCCTTCTGAGCTCTGGCTTCCTGCTCTGTAAAATGGGCTAACACTACTTCTTTATTTCAGCTGACTTTTCTAGCACTTCATTTACTCATGTGTGTAAATCACTGAGATATTTGAATGGAAATGGCTGCAGATGTTCAAGGTAATATTGCACCTTCCAGACCTCTCATGCATTCATTACGTAAATAAGGAAGAGATGAATGCAAATGAGGTGAACACTGAAGAAGTAATAAAATGGGAAGGTTTTACAGAGAACATTACCATATTTTCTCACATATAACTGTTGCTGGTAGGTTGTAGGGCTTCGGCCTTTTCTTGATAGGTGCCTTGCCCACAAGCAACATCAGGGTGACACTTGGGCTGGGGTGCCACCTAGATGGTATAGGTGCTGCTCCTACTTGCCTACCACATCTTTGATGTTCCTTGTTGGGGAGACAGTTCCCTTCAGGTGGCCCCCAAAAGCAAAGAGGTCTTGACCTCGGTCTTTTCTTCATGGGGCTCCAAACGTCCCCTTTACCCCACCCTTACCACATCCACAGCGTGGAAAAACACTGCACTCTGCAGGTCTTCCTCTGGATGATATCTCCTCTCATCCAGATTGTCCGCCCTGAGATAAGTCGGGCCTTCTTGGCCAGTACAGTCTTCCTCCCACAGCCGGTTGCTCAGCTTCAGGCTGACTTGGGTACATAAACCTGCCCTGCCTTAGGGCTGACTAGGACTTCACATGAATTTAACAGAAGGCATCTGGTGTCCGCCAACAGACCCCTGGGCTCCTGTTTCCCAGTATCCGCTTGTTACTCAAAACCCAGGAGAAAGGATGAAGTGGGGGGACTTGCTCGTCCCTTCCCTCCTAGTGATTATGGAGGTGGGCAGCCACCCTGTGCCCCTCCCCAATCCTTCTTCCCAATGCAACTGCCTCTGGATCTCCGCTGACCTGAGGTCACTCTGTTGCTCCTCCCAAGCTGGAGGGGCATACAGTTCCCATGCTGGGCTGCTGTTTTCTCCCCACCAAGCTGCTTGTGAGAGCTAGCAGCTCCCTGCCACCTTCCCCAGCTGCTGTACCTATATTTCCGGTGGGGCTGCGGTGTTGTTCCCGGGCATCTCTTATCTCCCCAGGCTTGGGTTTCTTCCCTGCCATGCCAGAGCCCTCCAGTCGCTGCTCTGTTCCTCTTGCCTTCTCTCCAGCCAGGTGATCCTCTGTTTAGCTCCTGGTACCTCCTGCCTGGCATGTTCCTCTTCCCCCACTGGCTTCACAGCTGCTCTCCCAGCTGCTTTTTGAGCAGCCCACGTCTCACCGAGGCTCTGCCCCTGTCCCTCGCCGATCCACAGCTTCAGGGAGCTCCAGAATTGCAGAGCCTGTGTCCACATTCCCTCCCAGCTGCTGCTCATTTGGGCCTCTGTGGTGAGTATCGGGGCATGTGGGGTGGGAGTCTGGGACCCACTAGAGGGGCTTTTACTGCCCCTTTCACAATAACCCACACCTATTCTCTCAAAACAAGCTGGGAAAATTTGGGTGTGAATTATATGTGACGAAAAGGGCTCCTCCTAGGTCTGGATATTTCATGGAGGGGAGGGGCAAATTAACACTGCCATTGCAACCCTTCCTCCCCTTGTCCCCATTGCCAAATTTCTGGACCCATGGGGAACCCTTCACTTACTAGATTGGATGGCACATGAAGTTGCTGCACGGATTGACCTGGCATGTAAGGTCTGACCCAACATATGGCCCCAGACCTGGTACATGGCTTCAGAGCTGGTGCACAGAATGGGATATGGCATGCAGCCCCAGAGTGATGTGCTGGATGGGACCCAAGTGCTCTGCTTTGGGCTCTGACGTACTGTCCTCAGACCCCAGCCCTGGTGTACTGCTTCCAGTCCCAGAAGACCTCTGACCCCTGGTACTTACCTATACCTGAGGCCTTCCGAGAATACGGTGTGTGTTATATTTGGGATGTGGTTTATGAGAGAAATATGGTAATTTCTCATAATGAAAAATCTGCTAAAATGTATATCAGATGGCAGTATGTAATTGCTTATAATCTTCCTCACTGGTTGTTATGTTGTAATCAGTAAAAATGTTATTTTCATTATTGATTGCAGTTTAAGTATAGGTTCTCTTTTTATATCATTGCTTGGAAACTCGTGACTGCTCCCCCAGAAACCTTGTCCTCTGGTACTGGAAGAGGAATTGCTGTTAGCAGCACAGAGACTATAATATATAGACAAAAAGTTCTGATTCCAGGACAGACCAAGGGGAACACATCTGCTGGTCTGTTTGTTCATAGAGCAAGGACTGTAGTCTTTTTCTGTTTATGGAGCTAAGAAACCATCTATAGTCAAGAGAAGGCACACAAAAGTAAAGCCAAGATGGAAAAAGGAAGTTAGTTTGAATTTCAGAACAAATAAAAATTTAAAAAAACCAGCAAACCTGCAAGAGTCATTGGGTCCACAAGGCTTTTTAGAGAGTAAATGCAAACTAACAAGAATAAGGATGCTGAAAAGAAACGAAATATTTGGTAGTTTTGCATCACGGGGTGCTGAGAAGATACCTATTCTAGACCAACTCTTTTCAGATCTAATTTAGCCAGGCTAAATCAGGGGTGGGCAATTATTTGGGCTGGAGGGCCACTTGATGAGTTTTGGTGAGCTGCTGAGGGCCACACATGCATGCGCACACTCACTCACTTGAGCTCCTCGCAGTTGGGCTGAGGCTGGCACCAGAGCAGCAGCAGGTGTGCTGCTCATGAGCATGAACATCTTATTTCCACTCCTCCTGCCCCCCACCCCGCTTCCTGGCTGACACCAACAGGCAAAAACAGGCTGAGAGCTGTGCTGTACCATGAGCAGGGCCGTGGCATTTGCAGCCACGTAGAGCTGGGCCGCAAGAAGGGGAGGGGGGAGTATGCCTCGCCTCTTGGCCTCCCTCCCTCCCTGCTGTGCAGACCCTAGGCTGGCGGGGGGTGGAAGCAGAGGGGGGGTCTGTTCCTCCCCTCACCTGCCCCTCCTACCACAGTGTCAGGTGGGTGGGTGAGTGGGGCACCAGCTTCTTCTGGTGCCACAGAGAATGCCAGGTGGAAGCAACCCCATCCACCACTGCCCGATCAAACTCTCTGTCCCAGGCGGCCATGCAATGCTGGGCGGGTGGGTGAAACTGTTTCCATACAGCATCCCCACCATGCTAACAGAGGCCAGAGCTGGAGCCACCACCCATGGGCCTGCCAATTAATTCTGTCTGGCCTGCAGGTGAATGACAGACCTGGCTCCAGCCTCTTACTGGTTCAGCAGGCCAGATAGAATCAATTGGCAGGCTGGATATGGCCTATGGGCAATACTTTGCCCATTCCTGGGCTAAATTGTTAAGAGAAAATGCTGAAACAACTGGATTAATTACATAACAAGTCACCAGCAGTTGATGTTATGCATCCAAGTATTAGGAAGAAAGTCCAGCTCTCGCATAGAACACATTAAAACTAAATGAGATGACAGTGATGGCATTTTAAATGTCAACATTTTAACTGTTTCACTGCTCATCATAGCCTGCAAAAAAAAGAAGAGGAACATGGTGTGCCATGAGCTGACTGCTTATTTTGGATAGGCACTTGGTTGTGGCAATGTTGGGATTGATTTCACTTTCCAAAAGTTGGACTTAAAAAATCTGGAAAACACTGCTCTGCTTGGAAATGGAAAATCCAATTCCTACTGCTCTGTTTTCCATTATTCAGTTTATCAACCAATTAAGGCATTACTGTAAAATAAGCAATTTTCTTTGGTTCTTTGGCGAGGGCTATGCAGCCAGCCATCTAGTGTACACGGAGCTCAGAATTCCTGGTTCCTGCCCATGTTATATACCGAGATACCTCTTGGTCTGTGATAAGTATTTAATTCAAAAGAACATTTGTCACTATGCCTAATGAGAAAGGGTCATTTGCATGGCTATTTGTTTTTTTTTTCATATTTACATTGCAGTTTCTTTGAATATCTTTTCAGTCTCCTGTCGGCTCCAGTAATCTCTTTCATATGTGAACAATTTCATGTGCACAAGGGCTTAGGAAAAAGTAGCCCAAAGTGATTTCATGCTGAACCCAGGTCCCTCATATTAATGTTCAAACCATAGCCTGGCACTACCAATGCACTTGGCACATTCACGATGGTTTTCATTACATGTTATGTATTAGAAAGTCATTCAAGTGTAGATTCTGCTGCTCTTCAAATTGAGGACATATTTCAAGGGGATTATTGCCTGTATAAAACAGGTATTTAACTATTTTATAATACTCTCGGGAAATAGAAATGAGCAGCAAGGTGGCAACATTTGCAGATGACTCTAAGGGTACGTCTACACTGATGTTTAAGGTTGACCTTTTTGTCACTCTTGATCAACCTAAGCTATATGAGCTGCCATTTCCCACCTATATTGCACTTTGTAGCCCACACCAAAGCCATCCATATTGTACTGCTTGCTTCTTCAGCAT